AGAAATTTCAATCTGGGGAAGATTTGTACGCACTAGATGTCCCAGATAAGAAGAAATGAAACTCCCACTCTCAGCCTTGAAACAGTGATTACTAATGGGCCAGGGGAAGCCAGTCCCCAAGGGATTCTTCATCAGGACAGTCACTGCCCCGCTCCAGGTAGCCACCATCCCACCTTCTCTGCCTGTATCATGAGCCTGCCTGCTCCTCCCTAGTGGCCCTGTTTGCATGCAAACAGGCTGAACCCTGAGGCCCAACAAGCCCAGATCTCTTAGCCTTCCTTTTGAAGCCCCAGTGCAGCCCCCCAAGACTGTTGCCACTCTTTGGTCTGAGTTGCAGAATTGCTGCCAGGTGTGAGGCAACTATATCAAGAATGCTGCCATTCTGCTAAGCAGGACTGTAGCTGGGAAGTGACTTCTTATAAGATCTAGTTACTGTAATAGAACCTTCCAAAATCTACACAGACACACACACACACACACACACACACACACACACACACACACAGAGGCAATTCTTCTCTGTCTAGATTCCTCTGCAGCTAAAGTGGTGAAACTCACTGAGTGGCACTTTCTGGAAATACTTTGGACTTGACCCAAGCCCCTTCTCCCTGACACCCTCCAACAATGAATAGACAAGCAGGGAGGCAGGAAAAGCAGCTTGTAGGTGACATAGGAAAGTTGTCCCAGCCTCAGACTACTTGCCTCTGGACTTCTTGTTGGGTGAGACCAAAATAATAATAATAATAATAATAATAATAATAATAATAATATAATAATAATAATAATAATAATAATATCCCTTGCTTTTTGTTGTTGTTGTTGTTAATCCTCATCCAAGGATATTTTTCCATTGATTTTTTTCAAAGAGAGTGGAAGGGAGGGGGAGAGACAGAGAGAGAGAAACATAAATGGGAGACAGACACGTCCATCCCGGGACCCTTAGTCCACCAGCAAACATTCTATTCACTGAGCCAAATTGGCCAGGGCTATCCTTTGCTTTAGTAAGCCCTGCTAACGTAGTCAGCTTTTCTTTCATTTGCAGCTGAATACCGAAATTAGGGGATATTTTAGAGTAGGGGTGGTAGAGGAGAGGTATACCCCCTCCCACAACTTCCTCGAATTTTCCAGTAAATTCCCACTGAAAAGTTCATTTCAATTCACGTTACTAAGCATTTATTAGACAACCACTGTGCATGTGGACTTGACGGAAAATTTTATCCTCAAGGAGCTCACAATCAGCTGAGTGGCATTTTTCTCTTGAATCCTCAGGACCAGGGTGCCCAGACAGACACTCCTTCCATTTGTAGGTCCCACTCTCTCACTTCTGCCCCTGCATGGACTCTTCCCTTCAGCCCTTCCCTTGGACTGAAACCCAAACTCAAACCTAACATGCAGATTGTCAACATTCATGGCTCAGATGTGACCTGTGAGTTTGGGACTTCTCCTATGGACCCTAATGACTTGTCCACTAAAGAGATGTACAGAACTGACTACATAAACTGTAGTCACGCTCTTGAGAAATAGGATGGTTGGCTGCTATTTTTGTTGTTCTCCTTGTTTTGATGATATAATAATAGAGGGTCTCAGTTTTCCCCAAAATGTTCATCCCTGTTGTCTTGTATCAGCTTGACAACAATCCCATGAGATATGTTGATGAAAAGCATATTGCTGTCACTATTTGTTAAATAAGAAATTGCATCAGGAAATTTGCCTAAGGCAGTGGTCGGCAAACTCATTAGTCACAGAGCCAAATATCAACAGAACAACAATTGAAACTTCTTTTGAGAGTCAAATTTTTTAAACTTAAATTTCTTCTTACGCCACTTCTTCAAAATAGACTCGCCAGGCTGTGGTATTTTGTGGAAGAGTCATTCTCAAGGGGCCAAAGGGCAGCATGTGGCTCATGAGCCATGGTTTGCAGACCACTGACCTAAGGTTACCTCTGACCCTTTAGGTTCTGAAATTTTGAGTAAAGAGAGGACAGTGATTTCAAGTCAACGAGGAAAGGGTCAACTATTCAACAAAAGGCTTATGGATTTAAGAAAGACAGAAATGGATTTTGCCTGCCTCCCTTCTCCCTGCCATCTTGTGCATGTGTGCATGTGAGAGAGTGTGTGTGTGTATGCATATATATTATACTAGAGGCCTAGCTTCGTGGCTGGCAAACCATTGCTCATGAGCCACATGCGGCTCTTTGGCCCCTTGAGTGTGGCTCTTCCACAAAATACCATGGCCTGGGCAAGTTTATTTTCAAGAAGTGGTGTTAGAAGAAGTTTAAGTTTAAAATATTTGGCTCTCAAAAGAAATTTCAATCGTTGTACTGTTGATATTTGGCTCTGTTGACTGATGAGTTTGCTGACCACTGGCCTAGTGCATGGATTTGTGCACCAGTGGGGCCCCTCAGCCTGTCCTGCAGGGATGGGGCCAAAACCGGCTCTCTGATATCCCCCAAGAGGTCCCAGATTTTGAGAGAGCACAGGCCAGGCTGAGGGACCCCACAGGTATACAATCAGGGCCGGGGAGGGACCTCAGGAGGGCTCCAGGGAGTGTCTGGCCCAGCTCAGCCAGACCAGACCCCAGCAGCAAGCTAACCTACTGGTCAGGGCATCTGCCCCCTGGTGGTCAGTACACATCATAGTGACTAGTCAAATGGTTGAAGGAACAGTTGGACACTGCATTAGCATATTAGGCTTTTATTATATAGAATAGGATGTCCCCAAAATGTACACCCATACTCTGAATAATTATAAAGGCAGTATTTACTAAGATATATTTTATTTTCACGATTGAGCTCCCAGGTGCTACAGTGTGTAGAGTTCAAATGATAAGAAAGTGGAAGAGATGGTTCCTATCTCCCTGAGTTGCTCTCCCTAGTCCTCTGAGTCCTCACCTGTGCCCTGACCAGCCTCCTTATCCTTGCTTTCTCCAATCCCAGCCAAGGTTCCTGGGACACTCTGCTATGCTCATCCCAATATAGGGAAAGCTGTGTGCCTGGCACCTACTGTGGGCAGGACCCTGCGCTCACACCAAGTACACAAAGGATAACAAAACAACACCCTGCTTTAGAGAACTCACAGCTGATTGGCTGAGACAGGATGTGGTCACCGGTGATAGCTGTAGGGCTGTACGGTTAATAGCGGGGGGGAAAGCACAGGGCAGGGTGGGGAGAAGAGCCTGAGAGCCTTGCCCTGGTTGGGGCCTCTGGGCTAACTGCTCTACCACATTGTCTGCACCTGGAACACCCGGCTCAAAGAGGGGTCCGCCCTATGGGCCAAAGCTCACACTTCCCGAACACCCAGGAGGCACGTGCTAAGGAGACGGGTGGAAAGGATGCAGAGCCCAGCTCCTGGCTCCTCTCCCCTTCCTGACTGCAAAGCGCGCGCTCCTGAGCCCCATGTAAATCTCAGGAGCAGCAATTCCTGTGTTAGCACCACCCCTCCTATTTCCAAAAGGCCCTTCCTCCCTTTGTGATTCTTAGGTTTCTGCATTAGCACGAAGGGTTGGGAGGAGAGGCCGCAGCCCCCTGATTCTGGCCCACAAGGTACATCCACAGATGGGCCCTCCTACTCACTCCAGACTGGCCTGGCCCCAGTATGTCCACCTCACTTGCTCCAGGCACAGTGACCTTCTTTGAGGGGCAGTGCCATTCAAGGCACCCCAGTGCTGATGCAGGAGGGCAAGGAAATACAGGAAGCGGGAGATTTCCTACCTCTGAGTCCACTTGTCAATCCCCCAAGTCCATCCCATAGGAAGCCCAGGCCCCTAGCAGGCAGGAAGCAGATGGAAAACAGACATGGAGAAGTCAAGGCATACGCCCTGGGGGTAAAGAGTGACAGAGCCAGGACAGAGCCTAAGCCTTCTGCCCCATCCCCGGCCAATGTTCCCCCCTTTACTATCTACACTGTGGGAGAAGCCCCTGTGGAAGGGGGAGGTCAAGGCACAAATGACCCCCAGAGAACTTTCCAGAGATCTGAGGTAATGCCACTACCTCTGTCTTTCCTAACCAGGGAGAGAGCAGCATGCCCCACCATATCTGGCTGCTCTGCCCCTGCAACACACACACACACACACACACACACACACACACACACACACACTTATACATCCTCACATACACACCCACACTTATACACCCTCACATACACACACACATTCATACACACACACTCCCATGCACACAATCACACACATTCACATGTTTACATATAAGACAACATAACAAAGGCTTCTTTGCGAAGGGGAGAAGAATTCGGTAAGAGGGAAGGAAGGAACCTGTTGCCCAGCCTTCCTGGAATCCCGACTTATTTTTCGACTTCTTCCTTCCATCTTTCAAGCTTAAATCTTCCTCCATCCACAGAAGCGTAGAACTCAAATAATCTGGAAAGACTTTAATTCGGTTTTCTCATCCCACACACTGGGACAGGGCAGAGCAGCGTGGTGTCAGGGACAGGCCAGCTGGGGTGCAAATCCCGGCTCCGTCCTATGGCCCCTCCCGGCCATCCTGTGGGCAGCTGGCCTCCCGGAGCGGCTGGCTTGGAACAGAAATGAGAGTACCAGAAGACAGCATTGAAGATACTTTAGCTCACCCTCATGTTCTCACTTGGGGAAGCTAAGGCCCAGAGAGTTGGGGTGACTTCCCGAATCAGCAAGGAGAAGCCTTGGGTATTCAACCCAGGTTAGGGAAGGGACCCCATTATTTCTCAATCCCAGTACACTCCAGAATGGCCCATTTGTCCACGTCACTGTGACCTAGGAACACGTGAATGGAACCCACACTGTGGGCCTCTGTGCACAGAACAGCTGGTCACCCAGGAAATCAACTTCTTTTTTTTATTAAGAGAAGCTGAAAAAAAATTATTTAAAAAAAAGGGAGAGAGAGAGGTAGCTCAGTCTAAAAATAGCAGTTGGTTTTTTTCAACCATCCTTTTTGCTTACGATGCAAAGAATTCACACTGAAAGAAGTTCATCGATTGCAAAGGTTCCTTCTTTGGGAGGGGCTCTTGAAACGGAAGTTTGTGGGTCAGTTTTTTATCAATGGAGGCAGTCCCTCTTATAAAAAGAGGGGCACAGGAGATGAAGGTCTACGCATCAGGGCATTGCTCTTGCAAAACCAAACCACAAGGCCGCCTGGCAGAAGAAGGCAGCACGCCACTATGCCCAGCTCAGCACTGCTCTGTTGCCTGATCTTCCTGGCTGGGATGGGGGCCTGGCCAGCCCAGGGCATGCCATCTGAGAACAGCTGCAGCCACTTCTCCACCAGCCTGCCCCACATGCTTCGAGAGCTCCGAGCTGCCTTCAGCAGGGTGAAGACTTTCTTTGTGAGTATGATGCCCCCTTACCCTTCCTGCCTGAACATCCCATTCTGCTGGAGCTCCCAGGGTTCTCTTTTTTTGCTCACCTCCATCCCCAGCACCCCCAGTTCAGTTCTTAAGAGACTCCCCCAGCCGAGCTATGGGCTCCATGAGTTCAGCTAAGTCCAGATGGGGCGCCAAATGTGCAGGAAAAGCTGCCTACACGGTAAAAGCACCCTGTCTCCTATGCTCAGGAATGCTTTATAAGATTCTGCTGGTGCTCAGGGCTTCCTTGGCTGGGAGACACCCTCAAGGGGGTGACTGTAGGTGAAGATGTTCCCCCACTTTCTGGCAGGCGAGCATAAATTGCATCTGCTCAGAGTGGTCCGGAGCCTGAGAAACTGACGTTTGAGGAAGCATCGTGCAGGGGGAACCTGCACGAGGAGCTGTCCCCACCCCCCCACCCCCGCCCTTCTCAGGGAGCCTTCAGAGCTGCAGTGGGGTGCGGGCAGGAGGGGGAGACAGGCAGAGAGCACTGAAGGGCAGACACCCCATGTGTCCCCGCAATCAAGCATCTGCCTTGGCTTCAAACCCTGGCAGAATGTTTGGAATGACTTGATCCCCATGGGGAGGCCTGATTTAGCTAAGGGTTCCAGCACCGCTGAATGCCTCAACGTTTTGATAACTGTCCTTTCCATTAGTAGGCTAGGGCTACAAATAAAAAACTCTGCCAATCAAGGACAGTCATTTCAGGTATTCCTCCAAACCTCAGGCTTATTCTCACTGTGTTCTTCTTGTAGCAAACGAAGGACCAGCTGGACAACATTCTGTTGAACGAGTCGTTGCTGGAGGACTTCAAGGTGAGAGCCGGTTGCGGGTTGCGTGGGTCAGGGGGAGAATGTGCCTGGTGACTCAAGAAGGGGGATCCGCTTCAGCCTGCAGGGAGCTGGGGCTGCTTCCTCCACGTGAAAAGGAGAAGTGAGAAGAGCTTAACTCAGCACCGAGCCAGCCCCCGGGGAGGGTTTCAGAGGGCTGGGTCCTGGGGGAAGGCACCACGCTGCTGAAGATTGGTCCTTGGGGACAAAGCCAGCCTCTCAAAAGCTAGTGGCACAGCCCTTCCTCCCAGTCACCACCTGGCGCTTCTTGCCCTTAGGGTTACCTGGGTTGCCAAGCCTTGTCGGAGATGATCCAGTTTTACCTGGAAGAGGTGATGCCCCAGGCCGAGAGCCAGGGCCCAGACACGAAGGAGCCCGTGAATTCGCTGGGGGAGAAGCTGAAGACGCTGAGGCTGCAGCTGCGGCGCTGTGTGAGTAGCAGGCCCGCTCCCTCCCTGGCAGCTCTCGGGCTTTTCTTTCCGAAACTCTCATTGCCTGACACCCATCAGGCAAGCACTATGGGTGGCAGGAGCCTGCTCATTTCTCTCTGAGCAGGGGTGGGGTGGCTGCCAGGCATTTACATGTGAAGATTTGCAAACAGCTTTCCTGTTATTTGTGAGTCATTTGTGGCTTATTAACCATTCCCGTCTCTGTACAAGAGGGGCCCCACGCTTTAGTCAGGGCTCCCCTGGCCCTTGGGACCCAAGCCCCGGGCCTAGCAAGAGGGGCCCGGAGCTGAGCATCCCGGGAGAGGAAACTCCACTTCCCTCTCATCCCGAACCCTTTAAAAACAGAGCTCTCTACAAGGGCCCAGCTGATGGACAGCACTTCCCCTGGTGTTTAGAAGGGCCCAGGGGCCAGTGTTCATGAACAATCCCCCGGGAGAATCCACTTTTTCAACTGAGATGAGGGTCTCCTCGCTGGTCCCCTTTGCTGTCGCGCTGAGAATGGGCAATCAGCCCATGTTGGTCTCTGGGTGTAGGGTGGGACCATGCCAAGGTTGGTCTGCAGAGCTGAGGCTGCGTCTCTATTCCTCAGGGACTTAGCAAGGATCCCCCTCCGTGTCTGGGCCTGAACGGGAGAGGCAGGAAAGGGTGGAATGGCTGGCTCAGTATCTGGTCAGCGCTGCCTGCTCTGGGAGGAAGCTCCCAGCGCTGGGTGTGCATGCAGGCCTCCCATGCAGGCAGCGCACTCCTCCCCTGGGCTGTGTTCCTTCTCCTCTGCTGGGGAAGGGTGGGACATGGGGTGACGGGAGGTAGAGGCATCCGGGACAAGTCTGGTCCCTTCTTCTCGCCACCAGCGTGTCCCCCAGCGAGCCGGTATCTTTGACACTTTCTCTTTTCCTCCCCAGCACCGCTTTCTGCCCTGTGAGAACAAGAGCAAAGCAGTGGAGCAGGTGAAGAGCACCTTCAATAAGGTGAGCTGCACAGTGGCTCCTACAGGGAGGGTTTGGGGGAGCACGGCCGGGGCCCTGCTCCCCAAGGGGCAGATGCGAAGCCAGCCCCCTCCTTCGCGGGGAGCGACTGTGGGAACCCAACAGATGGTGTGACCTCCGCAGCCAGTGAGGAGCTGTCGCCTCGGTTATATTTGTTTTCTGTGAAGTGTCTTTGGGGGTTTCTAAATGACTGCTCCCCGCCTTTGCAGGCCTGTGGGTGAGCAGCTGGCCAGCCTGTGAACGCAGTGAGCGGGGTGCTGGGGAGAGTGACAGGGGAAACAGAAAGTAGCTTGTTGGGCATCCAGGCAGAAGTCACACGTGCGAGAACCCGACACGTGAATGTGCACACACAAACACGCCCAGGGGTTCAGCCTGGGCTCCCCAAGACTCAGAGCAGGAAGCAGGATTCTCACTCCTCCAGAGCTGGTCCGCGCTCACTTTTCATCTGCCCCTCCCAGCTCCCCAGCTGCCTTCTAATGTCAACTCTCAAACCAGAGGGTTTCACACTTCCAACTATCTGTGAACATTTAAACACCATTTCCCAGAAGCCATGCGGCCTGTGTCCTCTTCAGGGGCTGGGGACAGACCCTGGGCAGGGTTCCCACACCACGGAACATGAGTCCCCTGGCACAGGTTGGGTCAGCAGGTGGGACCTGCTAATTTGTTGGAGGAAGAGAACAAACCTAAGAGAGGCTCGCTCCCTTTTCTCCTCTCTCATCGTCTTGTTTTCAAAGTGGTGCCTCTGATGTTTTTCCATCCAATTCTGAATAAGCACCATGTGAGCACATGGCCTTTGCATGTATTGAAAAGGCACCGGTTTGAAGACTGTGCTTTGCAAGCAGATGCTCCTCTCGCCTCCACTAGCTCTGCCTCACACCAATGCCCAGCCTTTCCCACAGCAGCAGGGCACGTCCTCAGGTTGCCTGCGTCCACCTTTCACCTCCCAACTCGAGGGATCAAGTGCAGCTTCTGGCCATTCAAGTGAGGGGCCACCTGACTCACTCAGATCGGGTTTTCACTAACCATCTCTTGTCTCCCCACACAGCTCCAGGAGAGAGGGGTCTACAAAGCCATGAGTGAGTTTGACATCTTCATCAACTACATCGAGGTCTACATGACATTGAAGATGAAGAACTGAAACATCTGATCAACAAAGCAGCAGGGGTGGCGGCTCCACTGGACTCTAGGGCATACATTGGAGATCTCCAAAATCCGAGCCAGGGTCCCAGGAGAGCCAAACCAACTCCTTGGAAAACCCTGCTGTACCGCTCTCCTAGAATATTTATTACCTCTGATACCTCAACTCCCTTTTCTATTTATTTACTGAGCTTCTCTGTGAACTATTTAGAAAGATCTATTTATTTACTGAGCTTCTCTGTGAACTGTTTAGAAAGAAGCCCAACATTATAATTTTTTTTTAATATTTATTATTTTCACTTGTGTTTAAGCTGTTTCCATAGGGTAGCACCTTATGGCATTTGAGTGTTTTAAGACAAATTGTAACTTATATATAAAGAAAAAGACATGATCTTGGGGAACCAACAAAAGCTTCCATTCCAAGCCTGACCTGTCTCTTTTGTCTCTGGGCCTGGGGCTCCCAGGATGTTACAAAGATCTCACTTCCTTAGGAAGAGAAACTAGGGAGCCCCTTTGACAATTCACATGCCAGCAGCTCAGAGGGATTCCCCTGACCTCATTCCCTAACCACTTCATTCTCTAAAGCTGTGGCCAGCTTGTTATTTATATCAACCTAAAATTGGTTCTAATAGAACTCAGTTTTAACTAGAAGCAATTCAATTCCTCTGGGAATGTCACATTGTTTGTCTGTCTTTGTAGCAGATTTTTTTATTTTGAATAAAAAAATGAGTTTTATTAAAATCATGTTATGGTGTCTGTTGAATTTCTGTGTGACTAAAATTGTTCCCTCAAAGTCTCCAAGATAGAAGAGAGTGGATGAATGAATTCTGCATTCCAGAGGAAGCCAACTACTCTCTCTTAGAAACAGGGAAGATTTCAAGTCCAGGTTGGGGTGGAGTGGGGGGAGATATTCTCTCTTCAAAAGCCAATGCCAGAGACTACCATAGTCTTTCCATAAATTCAATCCTGTAAGGAATTGCCCTTAAATCTTTAAAGATCATGCTGATTTTCAAGACTAAGGATGAATTATACACATACCAAAATTAGAAAGATAGGCAGAGGAAGTTTGTTAGTGTTTGTTTGCTTCTTCAAGCGCCAGAGTTCCAGGGGCAGATACTAATTTGTCTGGGTGATGGTGAGGACTAAGATGGGCTGTTGTCATGGCCCTAGGAGGTGGTCCCAGTGCACACAGTGGGTTGTTATTGGCATTCATACTAAGAAGTTCTACCCAACAAATCAACAAATAACAAGTGTTGGTAAGGATTTGGGGCAAAAGGAACCCTTGTGCGCTGCTGGTGGGAATGCAGTCTGGTGCAGCCACTGTGGAAAACAGTATGGAGTTTCCTCAAAAAACTAAACATGGAACTCCCATTTGACCCAGTAATCTCACTCCTAGGAATATATCCTAAGAAACTAGAAACACCAATCAGAAAGAATATATGCACCCCTATGTTCATAGCAGCACAATTTACAATAGCTAAGATTTGGAAACAGCCTAGGTGCCCATCAACAGATGACCGGATCAGAAAACTATGGTTCATCTACACCACATGTGTCAAACACAAGGCTCGCGGGCCAAATCCGTCCCGCCAGGCCTTGCAATGTGGCCCGCACCGCGCTGTCATCACTGCACTCCGCTGCGTTTCCATCACAATGACAGTTTATGACTGTTCAGTAAACCATTTGGCCCGCGATTTAGGCTGGATTTTAGATTTTGGCCCCTTCTCTGATTGAGTTCAACACCCCTAATCTACACAATGGAATACTATTCTACCGTAAAAAAGAAGAAATTCTTACCATTTGCAGCAACCTGGATAGAACTGGAGAACATTATGCTAAGTGAAATAAGCCAGTCAATAAGAGAAAAATTCCACATGATCTCATTCATTTATGGATAATAAAGAACATAGTAAACTGATGAACAAAAAGATAGATACCGACGCAGTAAAGCATCAAATAGACTGTCAAATTACAGCGGGAAGGTTAGGAAGAGGTGGGGGAGATATGAGATGAACCAAAGGACTTATATACATGCATATAAGCATAAGCAATGGACACAAAACATTGGGAGGTGAGGGCATGTATGGGAGTGGGGGGCGGCAATGGTAAGATATGTACACAAATAATACCTTAATAAAAAAAATGGGGGGGGGGAATAAATAAATAAAAACTTCTACCCAATTCTCCCTGGGCTGCAGCAACAGAATGGACCAAATAGAGCAGAATATAAGCACATTAGCCCACTCCATAGGCTGGCCAAGGATTCAAGCTGCTGCCACTCTTCCTTGAACCATCAGACTAACGTGAGGCTCCTACCACTCTTCCTTGAACCATCAGACTAACGTGAGGCTCCTACTCTGATCTGCTGGGAGGAGCATGGTCTGGGGAAGCCCTACTCTAAGCCCCGAGGCTTGGAGGAGCCAGGGAGAGAAGGGGCCAAGTAAACAATGATTGCCCTCCCGTTCTGCCCAGGCAGCTCTGGGTCGGGGGAGGACAGGAGCTGACTGACTGTGGTCAGTTTTTCAGTAAGACCTGACTCACTTCATTTAAAGTAACCATAGGAAGGAAGTGGGAGCATCAAAGCTGAAATTCTGAGATGAAAGGTTAGGTTTAAGAATGGAAGCTAACCAGAGTGAAGGTGTCTATGCAAAAATGAGAAGAAGCCGGGAAGGTTTAGGTCAGTGGTTGGCAAACTCATTAGTTAATAGAGCCAAATATCAACAGTCCAATGATTAAAATTTCTTCTGAGAGCCAAATTTTTTTAAACATAAACTATATAGGTAGGTACATTGTTATTAACTTAATTAGGGTGCTCCTAAGCTGGCCTTTGCTAAAAACTCAAAGGGCCACAGAGCTGTATGTGGCTCGAGAACCACAGTTTGCCGACCACTGGTTTAGGACTTTAGGGCTGTCTTTCAGGCAACATACACTAACAACACATTTTTGATGGGTAGCCTTATTGCTAGCTTTACCCAGTGGCCAGGTAAGTTTCTATTGAACAAGTACAAAAAACGTTTTACATGAATGTTAAAGGCACGCTTTAAAATTAAATACCCATTGCATTTTGAAGTTATTTATTACATGTTCTTATAAGAAAATATCTTTTTTTTAAGTATGATACTTTGTAAAACACTGTGTGATATGAAGCGAGAATTCTCCTGAGCCATCAGCAATGTGTTAAGTTAGTGTATGTTTTTATCTAGCACCTCATCTGAGGGAAATGGGCATCTGAAGCCAATAGACGGAAACTCACCTGGGGAAGCCACACAGCTGATCAGGTGTAAACAACAACTACAATGTATTGAGCTTATTTTGAGGTGGTCAGTACTAGGCATATATGTATCAGGCATACTATATGGTATTTTGTGGCTATTTTCTCTAAGAGCAAACTGACTCAGAAATGTTGATATGGCTTGGCCTCATGGGTAATGTGGAGAATGGAGAATTGAGAATAGCATAAAACACCATTCCCTTTGTATTAATTATCTATTGTTGCCCAAAAAATTTAGCAGTCTAAAACAACAAACATTTATTATCTCACAGTTTCTACAGGTTAGGAATCTGGGAATGACAACCAGGGGTTCTAGTGAGTCTTGGGATCTCTAATGAGTTTGCAGTCAAAACGGCAGCAAGGACTGCAATCATCTGAAGGTTTGTCTGGGGTTGGACAATTCACACACAAGGTGGCACACTATAATATAGCTATAACAGGAGGCCTCAGTTCCTCACTGGCTATTGGCTGATGGACTTGGTTTCTCACAACATGGGCCTTTCCATAGGGCTACTTGCATGTCTTCACAACATGGCATCTGTCTTTCGCAAAGCCTAACAGAGTCATAGTGTCTTTTAGACCTCATCTCAGGAAGCGCACCTCATTGTATAGGCTACATCCTATTTGGTATGTGAGTAGGTAACTATCGCCACTATTCCAGGGGAAAAAATAATTAGATTCCACATTGTTAAGAGAAGACTATCAAAGAATTTGTGGACATGTTTTTAAACTACCATACCCTTCTAAAAATTTAGAAGAAATAGCTCTGTCCTGGGAGGAGGTGGGGGTAAAGGGAAGGGGGGGGCATCAGTGTGTGCGGAGGAGGAGTCATCATGGACACTACCCTCCTAAAGTTCTCTCTCATTGGCTGGTATCATTATAGTACTTGTTCTGAACCTCGAGTTTTCACCTGGAAAACTAGCAAAGCTTCTTTCCCAGGTATTATGGACTAAATGTTTGTGTGCCCTCAAAATTTCTATGTTGAAGCCCCAATATGATGGCATTTGGAGTTGCGGCCTTTGTGAGATAATTAGGGTTAGATGAAGCCATGAGGATGGACCTCGTAATGGGATTAAGGTTGTTACAAGGAGAAACACCAGAAAGCTCCTCTCTTTATTTCCCATCTGCACACGGGGGACTAGGCTTTAGACCTGGGGTGGTTTAGGGAAAAGCAGACATAACACTCCAAGGAAAGAGAAGCTGGATCATAGGAACCTGTACTCAGAATGAAAAATGACAGGAAGTCCTCTGAACTTTCATAAGCTGCAGAACCAGCTACAGAAGGAACCAGACAACTCTATTCTCTCTGAGTGGTTCATGGGTGCCAGGTGACATGCGTTCCATTTTTCAGTACTCCTTCAGGGATTTGATAGGAGCAGAAAAAGATATTACAATGTTAACTACACCATTTTATTGTAAGTATGACAACTACTAAATACAAAGTAGGAGCTTTTGACAGAGAAACTAACCTAAACTCAGAGTTAGAAGAGGGCATCCATGAGCAGATAACAGTCAGCAGAACATGAAGGATGAGAAGAGTTGGTCAAATAAAGAGAGAGGGACAAGAACCTTAGGCAGAAAAAGTCATATATTGGATATTTAAAGACCCCATGGAACTTTAAAAATGGGAGTCACTGGGTGTCTCTGAAGCAAAAGTGTGTTTATACTGACCTCAATGTCGTAGATACTGGGCCCTCTTTATGACCCTCTGACTTCTTTTTGTTTGTTTGTTTGTTTTTGCAACTAATGATTCTCTCTCATCATTAATGTTTCTATCTCTCTCTCTCCCTCTTCCTTTCTCTCTGAAATCAATAAAAAACATCTTCCTTTTAAAGAAAGAATATAATAAGAAAGATATGAGCAGTCTCACCTTGAACATAATTATGAAAGCACCATCTTACCAGATAAAAGAGCTCCTATTGGATATAGCAAGTGGGGACACTGATGACTT